GTAAGAGGTTAATTATAGAAATTCATGTTATATTTAATGCGAAAAGTAGACGTTGTCCAACAAAGTACAGCTATCAATGTTATGAGTTTCTTTGTCTCAAAAGGTAAAATATTTGGGCAAAAGAAATTGGCACTTACTTTGCCAAACATGGGGTGTGCGATAGACTTACCTCCATGTGGTGCACCCTGGGCAACGTATACTCATACGGCAAAAAGTCTATTAACTGGCAGTTGACTTCTCACTTCAAACTACCATGGCCCCACTGTATGTCATGTTCGACCCCTTCACAGTACTCATCTAGCCTTTTCTTTGCCTTTGTGTCTGTCTGTCTTTTACATCTGTGAATCGCTCTTCTTTTCGCCTGTCGGATTCTTCTCACTTTAATGTTCCTCCCTTCTGTGAAGCCCGAAGTCAACTAAAGGGCTAATGATAACTATCAAAATGCCTGCCATTTGAAATAAATTGATAAATTTTGCCAAACATTATTGGCACTACAGACAAATCTTTGGTCAAAAATCGGAAATTCAAAATTATCTTTCCAAACGCACTTCTGGCATGTTAGTATTTAATTATGCACATCAAATGGCGATACTAGTCAATAAGAAAGCGATTATTTCAAAAGTGGTTCCCTGACATCATTTCAAAAAGCATTTCTTCAACATTCACCTTGGACCGAAGGCAACGGCATGGAAATGCTCCAGTGACAAACCTGGTCTGTATCACTCTATTCACAAGAGGTTGACTGTTCCACCGACTATATATGTGCAATTGAGCAGCCAAGGCACATTATAAAAATATGTTAATAAGCTTCTGTATTTGAAATAGAGAATATTTACTCATAAAGTGATCAGACGGTAAATTAAATCAATTCCGGAAGATAGTTAAGGAATGTGCACGATAACATTAATTTTAGTGGGTTGGAGTGTTCACAGTGATTCTGGACCAATGCAACTTATTAAGAATATATTTATATATTTACATATACTCTTAGTGATTCTAGGAATATAATATAAAATAACTTTTAATAAATTTTTATATGAACCGTTATTTAGGGCCTACTGAATTAAGTTACAAACCGGTACCATTTTGAAACTCTAAAAACAACAATTAATTCAGCAACCTTGTGATCATAAAATCTGAAAGCGCTCACAGTGACCCGTATGCAAATATAATATAATACATGCCTTCACAAACGCGGTAGCCTACTTGTGAGGGCATGAAGGACACTATGAGATAATTAAACTCAATCTAGTTATGGACAATTCCTGAAATCAAGCAACAGCAAATAATGCTAAGCAATTTTGTAAAAATATTTTCGACTATACAACGAAATCATCCATATTGGAATACTTACCATTGTCCTTGTTTACAACAATAGGCAAGCTACCACATTTACAAATATTCCAATTCCTATCCTTAAGTAGTTAGCTATTCATATAGGTACAATATAAAATTAAGTCACTTAAAGCCTATCATTAATTTAATAAATCATTACCGTAGAGTGTGAAAATGCCTACTAAATTTTCCAGGCGTCTAGTGTTCGTGTACATTTTTAATAATTCGGGGTTTTGCAAGTCTTTATACTCTATGTATTCTCAATAAAAAAATTTCTCATCACCTATTATTTTATTATAATTTATTGTAATGTAGTATTTTATATGCATAAAGAGCGTGGATCTGACATTTGTGTGCAATTTTATTTACTGGTTGAGAGCTAATAGTAATTATTTGGCTTAAATGAATTCGCCTTTCATTGGCTGATGTTATTTATTTTAATTATGTAAATAAGCTAATCACTAAAACTAGCTGTAAACAGGGAGTCACAGTAGTGTTAAGAACTTGAATAAGAAAAACAACACTGACCCGGAATCAATTTGGCAAATTGGACAACTTGCTGCGAGTGAAGGTGGAAGTGATTCATAACGTGGTCCCACACTTGGTGCTCATCATCGGCTTGTGAAGTCTCAAACGTACTCATGTCGAACCGGGATTTAAAGTACTGGAAGTAAATAACACAAATCCATATGACTTGATAACAATAACAAATCAAAACTACGATGAATTGTTGGCGAAGCAATAAATATGCGCGTTTAGAAAGTTATAGGTCGTGATATCGACGTTAATCGATTCATAAATGTGGAAGTTGTTGTGATTTAATGATTTTCGACACCATGATAAATCATTTTCCTTCCATGTGCTCTAGATAGCTCACCTTACTAAGTTAAGTATTGCAAATGATCAAATTACTTTTCACTGATTTGGATTTTATAAAAATAAGCAAACCAACTCACTACTACTGAATACGCAACTGAATTCACACGAATTGAATGAACTTGCTTCCTATTGAAAAGAAATACATCGAATTTACGTTTTCGCAATATGAAGAATTCTAACGCACCATTTCATTTTAAGCCACTTTATCTCAGATATCAGCTTTCGTTTTCTCTTAAGAAAACTGGGACTAATTAGTGGCATTAATAAATCTAACTGCCCATAAACTGGTCTGACACTGTATTGGAAAAAAAAACACCTTAAAAGGAACACAACAATGTGCGCCTAATTTGAATTATAATCAAAGAGCACAAAATTTATGAAAATTCTCTGAACATCGTCAACTATTCAGACAGATTTTGGGATCATTGCACGCCTAATTTTTGTAATAGAATTTGTCAGCACTTTTCAGCTGGTGCTAAATGCTTTCAAAATTTCATAGAATTATGCCTCTATAATGAGAATAATTTACCGTAGCCGGTAGTCGCATAAATTCCATGGCCATGCGCATTCCATAGTTGAACCAATTTAGCCCGTCCACCAGAATCTCCTCATCCGTTCCAACTACACCAGATACCGCGGCCGTCGCAGCAGCAGCCGCTGCGGCAGCGGCTGCGGCTGCAGAAGATGTCGATGACGAAATCTGTGAAGAACCGCTACCACCACCCCCGATACTACTCATAGAAATAGGAGTATGTACTGATACGGGTCTACTCGCTGCTACCAGGTGTAAACCCACCGATTCCATTTTCACTGGCGCAGATGCTTTTCGTCGAGGCAGGTTGGTAACATTAGAGTATGCGGCCATGTCACAAGCTCCTGCTGATGCTCTACGTTGTGGCAAGTCACCTATTCCACCTCCTTGGGCACCATTGGTCTGAGACGATGAGGAAGGAGATGCTGAGGAGGATGTTAGGGTTGGAACAGAACTGTGTTTCCTAGGTGGATGACCAAAATCTGTTGCTAGAGGTTGACCATTATCTTGCATTTGGCGAATCTCTATAGCACAATGGAACTTGACTGCATTCGGTTGACGTCCAATACGACTTCCTAAAATAGAGACAGACAAAACAATGGGGATGGTAGTTGTCTGGTGGCTAGGGTGGAGGGGGAGAATAATAGGGAGTGTGCAAATCGAGTCCAATAATGGGGTCATGTACACAAATACTGTGCGACAGGCTAAGAGGATAGGTTGATGGCTAAACTTAAGAAATGACTCTATTCACCTTCTTTCATTCTTTCTTAATCAACATACCCTGTACCATCTGGGCTAGGGTGGATCAAGATCAACTACCGTGATTAGGCATCCCTTGGCGTCGGGAATTATAGACGTCCAGAAATGCAGTTGAACCTAATTTCCACAATCTAGGCAATACAGATGGCCAACACTTGCCTACTAATTACTACCTTTACAATCTCTAATCTTTCACTAATTGAAACGGAGCCAAATAACTAAATAAGATGAGCAAAAAGAAGTTATCGTAGAACTCACCTCGCTTAGACATGCCAGCGCGTAGACACCTACGAAATCGGCAGGATTTACACACATTACGACTGCGTGGAGTTATGGTACAATTGTCCTTTCCCCCGACACAAACCAGCCTCGATGCTGTCTCCTCTGTGCGTCGAAAAAAGCCCTGAAATGCATCAACAATAAGGGTGGAGAAATATTTATATACTTAGTATCTTTGTTGAGAATTAGCTGTCGAATGAACATTTTACGGGTTCATTCAGAGGGAGAGAGTGAGTAATTTGATTAACTTTTATTCACAGAAAACAACTTCAGATATTATTAATATGTGCAGGGTGATGAAGAATAAATCTGTGTAGATCTCTTAACGTTTAAATACTCATTAACTTGACAAGTTATGGATGCTCGGTGTACGTATGACAATGTGGATAAAGCATTAGTTAAGCTCGTACCTAAATTAATACAAATATCGCCAACGATTTCAATGCTAAACTCAAGTCGACAAAATCCGTAGATAAAGATGCTTCAAGTAAAGTGCCCAATTTCTGATAAAAACTCTCATTTTCCTCCTTAAAATTATTTAATTAACTAACTTAAAAATTGAAAATTACTTCTTGTTTGCCTTGTCTATATTTTTATATTGTGTAAATTTCCAATTACTCTTTAACAAAATAAATAGCCGCCTTTCATTTAAAAACTAAATATATGCAGAGATTTCTTTTTTTAAGAGACTCCGGTAAAGCTTTTACATTCTTCAATGGATTAGAAAAGTACCTTACACTACTATCACATCTACTCTGAATGAACAAATTCTTGGATGATTTACATATTGCATTTGCTCTATCGGAAAAACAAACAAATTTTTTACAGTTATTACTTAAATTCACACTTCAAATGCTGGTACTGATCAGACAATATTCTGTCTACTTAATTAATGCATACTTCGAGTAGATTTATTCGGGAGATTGACTGATACGGTACTAAAATTTTTAGAACATCATTGTAGGAAACTATATGGCTATAGATTGCAAATTGACTTAATTGCTTGGTATGGTATGGTGGTAAAGGAATGTAATTCAAACCTAATTAGTGTCGTAAACAAACTTCTGACATTTAAAATGGCGGATAGAATAGGCTAGTTTAGGTTATTGGGGACCGTTGTTATAACAATGTGATTTAAACATGAAATAGAATGTATAGAATTATGCACTAATTCTTCGATTGATTCCTGCATTTCGCATATATACATCCTCTATTTGACATTTGAATCTAAAACCCGGTATGTGTATGCCTTCCAGTGTTTCTAATCTTCAGTTTCCTAGGTTTATTTAGAATAATTATTAGTCTTAGTTTCTAATTATGAATTTATTAAGTGAGCCTCAATTTTTTGACAAAATAAAATAAAATAAAAAAGATTATAAATGGAAGGTTAATTAATATAAAAGCAATTCTTTCGAGGAAACTTGTTTGAACTCTATGCGAGAGATTATACCTCACCTACCTCAAACGCTGCGACTCTTTCGTCTCGAAAATAGGCAACACGCATGTTTGGAAATTATATAATGCTTATTCACTTATTCAACTCATAATTACATGGACATTTGAGTAAATACGCGAAAATTATAGGTTTTGCGAGGCAAAAACTATCATAGTTTAGGTTTAGATTGCTATAGAGGGACATGTCAACAAAAGGATATTAAATATCTTAATCAAAAAACTGTTCATATATAAACATGGAATGCATGGGGTGCCTTTTATCTTGCTCTAAAGGTAGGCAGTTGTAAATCCTGCCTACTAGCCACTTTCCATCATCATCCAGTGTCGACCATATTATTATCTACTTAATTCAAACAGCAGCAGTAGTTGCAGACGAATACGCCTGCATAAGTCTTTCCTCTTGCGACAATGGTCTTGCAACGCAAGACTGACCTTGAGCGAGGTAGACGAGTGTCCAATGAATTTCCTATTCATCACGTAAGACTAGTGGTTGTTTACCAACCCTATCGTCTAAGCGTTATGCACATGACCTTGGAAACTTCATCCTGCTCATCATTATTTCATCCCTTACTTTTTTCTTTCATACAGTCCTTTAGTTTTGTACAAAATGTAAGGGGATTTTTTGGTCTGTAGAAGAACTGAGTCCAGTTGACCCACTTTTAAATGATTTTGACCTATAAATGACGCTTACTCCTGTTTTGCACATCACGTGCTGTCATTATTATTTAAAAAATAACGCAGTCGGGCTTGACAATAAAGAACCAATTGGAGGACACAGTCTCAGTGTGCTTAGGAAGTTATAAACCAATCAAATCCAGCCACTCACCTTACAACCTTCGCAGGTTAGAGCTCCAAAGTGAAAACCCGATGATCGGCCACCGCATACTCGGCATGGAATGTTTGAAATGTCCAATTCTCCCTGGGCGTCCATATCTGATAAAAGTGAGTGGAAAACAAATAAGTAGTGAATGTTAATAAACCTTGCGATTGAACAAATGGGGAAATAAGTTAGAGTCACCTTTCTATAGCACTAAACGAAACGAGGTCAAATTTTTGAGTGGGAGTTGGCTAGTTAAATGTAAACACAGACAACTTGTTAGCACTGACAAGGATATTGTTGATAAAGATGAAGGAAGAAACTATCCATGACCCGATTTTCGGTCAGGCGGTAGAATTTTATTAGTAGCTTGTGTGCCGACGATGGATCAAAGGACCACGTGGTGAAAACATTCACCATTGATATTGCGGTGGCCCTCTCTCTCTCTCTATATATATGTATATTTTGGTGGTTTACCGACTGTGTTGATTGTTACTTCTGCTACCAGTCAAGTGTCGCGAATCAGAAACCCTTTTTAATTACTGAGACCTCTTTTCACACCACCACGAGTGTGTAGCCGGAAACTCAGATGTCCAATAGTCTGGACTTTTCGACACGGAAAACCTTCGCCATCTTAGTAACAGACATCATAAAGAGGCACAGAACCAATATGTGTTCTTCCCAAGTGTGTATTTGAAGACCACTGCTTTGATTAAATACCATTTAATTATGTCTGAAAATCAGACCCGACAAACACTCGAAATAAATACAGATAAAACAAGATTTACTGATGACCTAACAACAGAGGAATTCGCTTGAGAATAGTTCATACTATTGTGTATCTAAGAGCATATAAATTTTGGAAGTTAAGCAGGAGTCCAGCTAAACTTCACCATAAAGGTGCAAACAGTTGGTTACTTAGTTGAATTTGACACTTTAATTTCAATTGATTAACTCCAAAGTGGAAAGTAGTTAATAATGCTCATGAGGGCCTCTGAATTTGCGCAGCATTGAAATTGTTACCTAGACACAACCGTCATTATATTTGATGATTTTACTTATTCGGCTAATAATAAATGGAAATTACAGAATCAGGAGCAAAAAATAAGTGTGAAGATTTTATTAAGTTTCTAGCTATTATTGACCATTCTAAATGCTTGTGAATCACAGTTTTTATGCATAAACGCCACATCTTAAGAATATAAAGCAAAGAATCAGCCTGTGCTAGTGGCACCATACTGATCAAAAGGAAAGCATTCTAGAATTCCTTTGAATGAAAAACTAGTAGTATTAACCGGTGTGGTTAAACCTTACCCTTAAGACTCATTCCAACTTCAAGGCACTTTTTGTATCGGCATTGTTGGCACCTTCCACGACTATTCTTTGCAATGACACAATTTCCACCTGAGGGGCAGGTCGTAGTGGAACGTCCATTAGCAAGTGAATGACGCATAAAGAATTTCTACAAGATAAAAAAAGAAATGGAGCCTATGATCGAGTATGGCATCCACCTAGAGTTGAGACATTGGCATTCACGAGAAAGCTTGACCTCACCACTAATTCAATAGCGAATTCTTTCGTGAGCATGATACATACTATTGTGCTGAGTCCTCCAATACGCAAACTTATGGAATTTCACTGCTTGCACATCCTAATGCTTGCAAAAGCAAGCGCTTTAGGCTCTAGAGAATAGGTCCCGTGACTCATCGAAAAGAGAGAAACCCCTGACACTTAGAGATGGTGCCTATACAAAGTGGTTACACGGAATTGTTCGGCTATTTACTAGACATAATTTATTTGGCTTGTATACAAGCAAGAGAGACTACAGATCTCAGGCGTATTACTTTCAACAATAAGTAGTATATACGATGGTGTTTACTAAGGCGAAAATATTAGCAATATATGGTTAAATAAAACAGGAAATGCGGCAGGTGGGCACAAAAGAAAATTTATTTAAACCAACCGATCACCAGTCGCTGAATTAAATGGGTACAACCTCACCGATAAACTTGCCCGTCGAATGATAAAGATTGAAGATTAAAGCCCAAAGAGATTATAAACAACTCATTGATCTAGAATTCTAAATAAAGTAAGACTTTGTTTGCTATTCCACTAAACCAAAATGATAATTGCCAAAACTTTTTTTGCAGCCCCATATTAGTACCATATTAGAACCTTGTGAGTTTAATTCTCAATCTGCATATCACACACAGTAGTTTATCTCAAACAATGTTAGATGTAAATTAGGTCACTTGAATGATGCTGATGGTGATGTCAGCGACTAAAAAGCAACTCCTCATAAAGGTCTTTAGCGATGTTTAAAAGCTCACGAACTCAACAAGTTATTTGCACACTAGTTCGAGAACTAATCACTCAAATGCAAAGATGATAAAGGCTTATTATGGATGCACACATTCTTATCAATGCAAGGGAAATCCTTTACCGCAGGTTCTATTCTGTAAACTAGGGGCAATTAGTAGGAGGCAATTGAAGTTTCAAATAAAAGCTCGCATTTGTATTCCTCGCAGTTCTCACTTTCAAGAGATAATTAGTAATAATTTGCGTACCTAATCTCGTAAATAGAGAATTGCTTCCCAGTCACCTTGCATTTAGATCGAAAGTCAATGAGACTAGCAAGTAGACTTTACACTTAGCCCTCTTGACTTTAGCATGGCTTAGTCAATAAAACCAAAAATTCCCTTGACGCCCACTATGAACTTCCATTTAGCTATAAATAAGCGAGGCAAAATTCATTTTGTTTTAAATTTAACTCAAGGTTAAATAGCATAGCATTTCTGAAAAAAGAGGTACTGAATTTCCTACCCAAAACTTGGACTAATTAAATAGTTGTCCATAGGAAAACACTAATAATCTAGACGAGAAAAACATAAACCATAAAAAGCTCTGAGGTGAAATCATTTCTATGGCAATGAGCTTTCCTTTAGAATGAAATCTTCATATTTGCTTCATTGTTGCTTAATAAGATGACAAATCAATAATTTCCAGGTACTCCATACTTTCTTAATAATTTGACTTAAAGAAAATGTCATTGGAACAATGGATCTTCTCCTTTCAACAATGGAATGACTCAGTTGAAAAACTGTATTATGTTGGAAGGGGCATATCGTTAACCCAAGATTGTAGTTTTCTTTGTAAAACAACATCATCAATTGTAACTATCTTTGACATCGAATGCATAGGATTTGTATGGTGATCCAAGCTTAAAAGCTTGTTAATTTTTATTAACGATTTCAAGTTAGGTAGTCAACGACTATTAGAGAGAATTAATGAATTCGTTAAAACTTTTGATTACTGAGGGAAATAATTCACTGGAATATTTATTTACGGGAATTGTTTGGAGGAATAAACATCTAAACAAGAGCAGACGGACACCAGTGCAGTCTAGACATACCGTACAAAAGTTTGGCAGCCCTGACGGACGTGAAAGTGAAGGGAGAGGGTTCTAGAGAAGTCTCCCTCTTTTCTCTTCACCTTCCCCTCCCCTCTCTAATTCTTCTCGGCAATCAATGAGGTCACACTGTCTGACGGGTCAGACACGACAAATGCCTCGTCTGGTGGCTAAACACGAGTGGCTGGTAATGGTTTGTTAGATACCCCTATACATACAAATAGCGCGAACTCCCTACCCCTACAAATCAAGCGCACGAATACAGATGAATACCTGAAAGCGTCAAGAAGCTAGTTCAACCGTCAAAAGCCGAGACCACACTACCTCTATCCTACTCTGTACATTCGAATTCATGAGGAAAACCTGTACATGCTTAACCGAAATCTAACACCATGCTGTCTTAAAGTTATGAAGGGAAACTTGGTCAGCCAATATGGAGAGACAATGCACTGCCCCACCCCCCAATTCAATTCTGTTCACTCAATCGATAAGCTCGATATAATGTTTTGCATATTCAACTAGACGCATATTGAATAAAGGCCATCGAATCCGATATATGACTTGAAATACCTCAAAAAAGGACCTTCTTGATTGTCTACATTTTCGGTTGAGATTGAGGGAGATATAAATGACCTCTTGCTCTAACTTCCTTCACTTGACTTTTAATCAACCAAAATCAGACTGCTGGAGAAGCTCACGCGCCTGCTGAACCTGCAACTTGCATTGATATGCGAAGACTCTTAGTAATTTCAAATTTCTGCTGAGATAAATTCATTTTAAATCTATGGAGGAGCGCTTCTAGGTGATTAGGAAGGCTAATATTCAATTAAAACCCGAAGATTTGTTGTCTCAAGGTAGCATAGATAACTCGACTCATGAAGACCGGAATTCTAATTTTAAAAGATCGATTTTAGCAAAGTGGGGGAGGAGAGGAGGGGGAATACTAAATCAGTCCATTTGGGACTTATATTTACTCTCAATACCATTGAGGCGATAAAAGAAATTGGGGGGAAGAGGGGGGGAGGGGGGGGTGAAATAGAAGAGTCTAGACCTGCTATCAAAAAAAAGGTTATGGGATCACTTCGAGGATGAATAGTTGGTGGGAGCGAGGAGGACAGACCGACGAGAGAAAAAGTGAAGTGAAGAATGGGGTGGAAAGAGAAAAAAAACAAAAGTAGACGCAAAGGCGACTGAGATGACTAAGCGCTTAGGCAGCCTTGTGTCAGCAGTACATGGAACTCTAGCACTCAAAAGCAATTGAAAAAAAAATTTCCCGTCAATGTTTCTTCTCATGACTCCCTTGTGCCCTATTATATGGCGGGGAATAATAATAGTCAATAACTTTGTTTAAATTGATGGCTAGATGCTGTACGCAATTCCTGCCCACATATATTTTCATCAAATTGCCTCTTCTCTTAACAATGAGGCCAAGGTAGAAGAGAAAGAAATGAATTATTTATAAATTGCTTTTTTCACGTGATTCTTAATTGAGAAAAATGTTGCCCAACAGATCGTTAATTATTATCCTTTCGGAAAACTTTGTCAAGGCGATTCGAAGCCATAAGAATTGATAATATAAGTCTAATGAAGCATCACTATGATATGATCAAGATAAAAAAAACAAATTATAGATTTGACCTTTTGCCGTTATCTTGATATTCACTGAAAATAAACTCAGACTGATTTAAAATTACCATTGTAACAAACAATGAGCATCAGTAAGGTTATTAAGTGAACGTAACCTAATTTGTCAAAGAAATTCCTACTAATGGTTACATATGATACTCTTGCCCACATAAATAAGCTAATGTTTCAACGAATGAAAACGGTTAATTGATTTATAGTTTGCCAAACATATTGAAATAGTCAAGTAAATACGGGCGTTTAGTGGAAATTAGTGCAACCTTATCGGCCTCAAAGGGAGATATATAAATACCCTATTCTTGAAAAACTTTAATAATGGATAATAAATTAAATGGTCTATTGATGCAAGTTTTATAGTTTTATCCCACCAAGAACTGAAATTAACAAAAAATAGCACTTACTTTACAGGCCTCACAAACATAGGCACCATGATGAAAGCCAGCCGCTAGTTCACCACAGATCTGACACAACTGACCTTCCATTCGATTCTGGTACTGATAGAAGGCCGACTCAGGACTAGTGAAACCCGGCAGACTGACCCCACCAGTTGACCTAGAGGGAGTAATCATCGATCCGTCAAGGTCAGTCATTTGTCTACTGTTGCTTTGTTGTTGATTAGCCTGATTGGAAGGGATTTGATTGAAAGCAGAGGATGAAGAAGAAGGTTGAGGTGAGTAGTACTCACCTCCCGTGTCTAAAGAGGGGAAATAAGATGTTGTGTTGCTATTTGAAGAGCCAGGAGGATTTAATTGGTGACTGGGAGGAAGCTTGTGGAAGAATTGCATAGTGTCGTTTTGGAGATTTGAAGGAGTGCTTAAGAGAGCATAAGTTGGATGTAAAGAGGAGGATGAATCAGGTTCATCAGTGGAAGCCCAATGGGTGCCAAATGATGGATTTCCAAGGGAAGGTGGGGGAAATTGAGTGAGATTGGGATTCGAATGAGGAGAATGAGAGGCTGTTGCTGAAGGTGTGTGTGCCATCTATCGCCAATAGGTAATGAAAGCGATAAAAATTAATATTTGAAGACGACCAATATAATGACAATCACGACTTATGCACATGACGAGCATTGGGTTTTATACAATTTCTGTTGATACACCATATTGGGTATTATTGGAAAACTAAAAAAAGGAATATTATTACAATGACAATAATATCAAACAACAGCATATCAACAGTGAAAAAAATTAACCACATAAAAAATAAAGGGCAATTTATATAAACCTAAATATATACTTTGACTAAATATTAATTAAATGTCGTTTAATAAAATAGAACAATATTGAAAGCATTCAACCTTTCAAACAATTCATAAAAGAAAGTTCAGAATGATAATGGACATACGTTAAAATAAAACTGATTTGAAATTTGTATAAAGGGGTGATAATATAGGTCTCTATTTTTTGATCACCGAGTTATTGGTATTTGTAAATCTGCCAATATCTTTTCACCGTCTATTTAGTCGATTTAAACAAATGCTTAGTATTTTAAAAAAATATATAGGTAAGTAAATATTTATTTCTTACTTTTGTTAAAATAAAAGATTAAAAAAATTAATGGAAAGATTATTTGGGTTTAAATATGGAAAATGGATTTATCAGGAAATGTATGTTTTAATATTTCCTTCAATGAACATCATGAAGTTCTTTTCGAATTATTGCTTTGGCGAAAATAATTTTCAACGCAATCCGTTCATTTATTATGAATAAATTTACATTTAACATGGCATTTGAAAATTCTTGTTAAAGTTAGCATTTTAATGTACTAGGTGTGCTTCATTAATTAAAATGTTGTTTAGATGTACTTATTTTACAAACATAGCAATGATCTAGTTTTTCCTACATCTTATTTTATCTGTAATTCATGAAATTTTATGGAACAATCTTCATTGTTCAATTAGACAATCTTTTATTCTGTCCAAATTCATTGTATGGTTTCTTAAATTTTTGCGTCATTTAATATAACTAAAATCGTTTTATTACAATTAACCTTTCCATCGGCTGTTCCCTTTTTGTGTATACGAACTTGATACCAATAAATGCTTCTTTTGTTGCTTTCAGAAGTAAATTATTGGCGATCTGTGATCAACACTAAATAGATCGAAAATTACTACTTCGAAAAAATACTGGCATAATTTTGTTAATGGTGACTACAATCCAGATTATATCTAGTTAGATAAATGTTCCGAAATAACAAAGCCAAATATGTTTTCTCTGTTCGAAAATAGCTCGTACTTCTTCTTCAAGCTAATTACGACTGAGAGACCGATATTATATATTGGAATATTATTAGTCATCGCTTATGAAGAATTGTCCTGCTCAACTATTGAAATATTTTCTCTATACAGGCCAGTAAAATTAACAGTGTGGTTAAAATTACCCCTCTCCGACTAATGTAAATGAGTTATTGATAATGATTTCTCGCCTTTAAGTAAAGTAATCAATTTTATTTCATGAGAATCGTAGTCTGGTTAACAACCTTTAAGTTTTTAATGCGTTACTTAAAAGATTTAATCGTCTTTCTCTCACAAAGGATATTAAAATGTATGAAGAAACGGAGCCATATAATCCCAAAAGTCCATTTCGCGCAGTTGTTCATTGACGTTTCACTTGGGCATGCCTACCATGACCTCTCCATACGTAATCACTTAGATTTTCGTGGAAATTTCCTTCGGAATATATTGTCAGGCTTAAAAGCATTTGTAGCTCACGATTAGCCCTTCTGACTGCCAATTGGGATGGTAACGAGTATTTAGCTTAACGGTATGAAGTCCCACGCCTAAATTGTTCAACCCCCAGTCTCGGTGAGCCGTAAGTATCACTATTTATATCATTGAACCTATAATATGGATCCAATACCGATAGTAAATGCTCCTAAGCAGAAAAATCCTATTTATGCTATGCTTATTAATAGAAACAAAATACCACATCCGTTCACCTTTGAGAATACCAAGAGTTAAGTAGGCTCATGCATACATTGAAAATGAATGTGAAAGGGAAAACGGAAGGAGTGGGAAAAGGAATTGGAAGGAAGAAAGTGGGCATCAGTTCTAACGCGAGGACGACTAGGACTGCGGGAAACAGATGAGATTTGTTCAACGTTGAACAGCTGAGTTATCAATCCAGAGAACACAGGCACAATAACGAAATATTCTTCTCAATGGCATCAGAATACATCAGCCTTTCTCGAAGCCAGGCCTATGAAGACCAAAAGTGTAATGAATCGCTCAAAAGCTTGTGGAGGAAGTAATAAGACGTTTTAAAATTGAGGGCAATGACTATGCGTCGGCTCGATAAAAAGTGAATAGAAAGCGATCAAAAATCAAACAGGATGATAAGAGACACGTGCCTTCACGTAAGATCAAGATACCCGAATATTTATTCAGTTGCATCAAATGGCAGGATTTGATAGTTATCATTAGCCTTTTAGTGGAATTCGGGCTTCACAGAGGGTAGGAACATCAAAGTCACACAATTTCGTGAGACGGAATAGAAGAATGATTCTCAGATGTGAAAGAGACAGACACAACGGTGGAGAAAAAGGTAAAGTGAGTACCGTAGAAGTGGTCGAATGAAACATATAGTCGGATCATGTTAGTTTGAAGTCAGAAGTCAACTGCCGGTTTATAGACATTTTTGGCGTATGAGTATACGTTGCCCATGATGCACCAAGTGGAGGCATGTCTATCAAGTAACACAGATACCCAAATATGCTATTCTAAATAGTAACTTAATACTTCGAGCTGACAACTGACTTAATTAGACTAAAAGGAAATATTTGAGACACATTCCAAGTCATTAATTTAAGACAAAAAAAAACATAGCATTCATTCAGGAGATTACGATAATTATGAGGGATATCCCAAGCCATTAAATATTTGACCTACTTACTGATATATTTAGCCAACCTCAAGCGCGTGAAAGAATGAATTGGAAATTGGCACAATATCGCGTGTGCTATGGTTAAATGTTTTAGTGAGTTTGCTCAAATACTTGTCATGTGCTATCTGGCAGACCAAGTCCAGAAAACCTCGAGCATAATAAATGATAACGATATTGGGAGTAGATAAAATTCAATGTCTCGTAATAGTTTATTTATCAAACCTCTCAAATAAATGAACTTCCAACTATAGTAAGGAAAAGTTGAACACGAACTTATAACTTTCACTACTGATGAATCGTTGCCTTTCACATAATTGGCTTCTCAAAATTTTACTCGCGACTCCTTCCAATGCGTATAAAGTTAAAGACCTCACATATCTGTAGCGGATTGCTACCTTAGTAAAGCCTGACTGACTCAGCCCTAAGTAAAGCCTGACTGACTTAGAAATCTCTATGGCAGATTCTCC